GAGCGCACCTCGCGCGGGCTCCTCGTACGTGTACGTGTGTGAGTACGGAATCGTGTGTAGTGTTAACGGCCTTGCTTTATGTGGGTCATGAAACAAGGTCCCACCAGCACGGGAGAGTCACGGCGCGCGCTTAACTTATGCTAGCAAAGACGAGCCGATATACACGCACGCGACACACACGCGCGCGGCATAAACGAGTCTCGCGCGGCAACTTGCGCTAGCACATCAACGTGTGCGAAGGCTTTCTACAGCGCGAGCTGCCGCCGCTGCCGCCGCTGCCGGTGCACCTTTCCTCCGAGCGGAGTGCGGACCGAAGCCCGACACGGCGATCGATCGTAGATCTGCGTAGATCCGATCGGAGAGAAAAGGAGATAGAGGGAGATTTACGGGCGGGCTTCCTCTCTCCCTCGACGCGGAAATTCTCTCCGCGGAATTCCGCCGTAACGTAACGCCACGCTCGCCGTTCGGCAAACAGGATCTCGGACGTTATATAATGCGATTCTACATTCCGCTGATTTTTATTTCCTATTTTCGCGCGATAACGCCGTGCACTGCTCGGTCTGTGTTATTCGGTTATAATTAAATTTCCTTCGGGAATTATGCGTGCGAGTAAAATGGAGGGAGAAACCGCGATGTGTCTGGAAAGAGAGCTTTTGGAAATTTTTCTTTTTTTGCACTTTCCTTCAAGTTTCATCTAAACTTTTTGCTAATGTAATTTACGACATACGCTTGTATTTGCGCGAAAATTGCGAACGGAGTAAATCAGTTGTTTCGTCTTTAGATTTATGAGGGATTTAATTTAACATGAATTAGCGACATTATATTAATAGCTGTGTTTACAAAAAATATTTTTAACGCATTATTAATACACATATTGATGTACATGAAGAGAATTTGACGAGAGATTTAATTTGCTGAAATATCTAAAAATTTGCCTAGATTCAGATTTAAAAATAATTTTGGTGAACCATAGAAATAATTATAGGACGTTCAAATACAATCGGTATTACTTTAAAAAGTTTTGACAGTCTAACAACCAACTTTTAATGTCCTACATCCTACATAATTATTTTGATAATCTAACAAAATAATTTTTAGATCTGTATCTACACTGAAAAAAATATAACCAATTTTAATAAATATTTAGTTGAATACATGCTAACTAAATATTTATTAAACGTAAAGATATATTTATTTGATACAAGAAATGTTAATTTGATTTAACAATCATTCTTTTTACTAAACAAATATTTATTTACTGTAAGTAAATATATAATTGGCAGGATTGAACTAAATATTTATTAAAATTGACTATATTTTTTCTCAGTGTAATTAAATTTTTAGATACTTTAGCAAAATCATTTCATGTACACTGTTAAATTTTATAGAGTCAAATTAACTTAATGTGAGTCGCCACTGCTCCTACTCAATAATATCGCTATTTTTTACTAAAACAATGGTTGTATTTGACACTATACAGTATCAATTTAACATTATATAGTGTCAAATTTAATTATCATTTTAGTTAAAAATAACGATATATTTAGTAGAAGTACGATTCACTTTAAGTTAATTTGACCCTATAAAATTTAACAGCGTATAATTTATCGCTTTTAATCGATATCGTCAACCGGACGTGAATCGTGTTGCACACGCAGTTTGTACACTGCAAAATGCTTGATTTTGGGAACGAGGGATTGTCGCAACGATCATTAATGATGAGTTTCTTCGCACTCGTCTTCGAGGCCTCGATGGGGCCGGAGGAGACTCGAACGCGGCTAATGGGCCGAGCTCGCGATTCGCGACTCGCTTAACGATCAAGTTCGATTTCTCTTGGCATCACGACGACCGCCACGGTCACGCACGAGTGAAATCTTATAGGATTCTGTCAAAAATTATTTCCGTCCCGAAGACGAAAATCACGCGCGACGTGTGGGCACGTTGAATCAATTATCATAGCTAAGCGGAAACGAAACACGGAC